TCTAGAAACCTCCAAATTATAATTAGGAAACTTGATAATTGCCTGATTTGAAATATATTATTATATGTTCAAACTTAGTGTTTCTAAAGTTTCCTGGAAACTATAAACAAGACATTTGGGTCAACTATTTTTCGTGCACTTTAACCTAGAGAAAATACAAACTTTTGTTGATCTCCTCAACTCTCATTTGTTGTCTTCTAGTTGTAGGGTTTGGTTATGAGTCATTAGAGGCATCATCCTTTTGGTGCTAAGTTTTCTAAGACCAACAACTACAAGGTATTGAAGTGATTTGTTTACTACAACAAATCAAAGGTATGCAACCCTAACTCGATATTTTTAATTACGTAAGGGGTTCTTGTAGGTTTTCTTGTTTATTGTATGTTACCTTCAAAGTGTTATGACATAGATCCTTTACGTTGCATGCGCCCTTAAGTGTTGAGAGTTTTACCGCAAGCACATAATTTTGTAGCCTATAAAAACCATCAGTTTTATGTATAGATCTGAAGCTATAACATTGGTACCGGTGATCGATAATGGTTGCACCTGTGTAGATTTATTCCAACACTGCTGCTTCCTCCACTCTTTGCTCTCTTCTGTAATATGTTTTATGACATAATATTTTAGAGATAAAAGTTCTAGAAACAAGATACATTGAAGGTATGCGTTAAGTTGTGAATATTGTGAATGAATATTTAAATCTGTCTTTTAAGTTGTAAATGGTTGTTTGAACTAGTCTTTTTAGTTGTTAATGAGTGTTTTTTCAAAGTATTAAGTTGGTAATGCATGTTTTTTTATACAACTATGATTGCTACAATGAGAAAACATAAATATGAGTAGGCCTAACAATTAGGTTGGGTTCGGGTTGGAAGGTCATAATACATTGAACCAACCCAACCCATATAGTATATGGGTTGGCTAAAAAGACATCCCATTTTACCATATAGACACCCTAATTAATTTTTGAAATATTTTTATTGGTTGAAATTGCATTGTTTTCCGAAAAAGCTAATTATAAGTAGTTAATTATAGGTTGACTTTTTATAAAGAGGTCAATGGGATGTCTAAGGGGTGTCTTATTAGCATCACCCTAATATAGGGGTTAGCAGGTTCCTTAACCCTCTGATCCTCCTTGTCCCACCTCCCACGCCCCCTCCTTCTACGCGTCATGTTCCCCTAACCCCTTGCTCCTCCTTGTCCCATGTTCCCTAACTTTTAGAATCCAGAGCTTCCCCATTCATGTATTCTCGCTCCTTAAACTTCAAATGCTCTCGAATCCATCTTCTTCGTTGACCACATAACAAAAACCTCCATATCCACCCCACGTTCTTCCTTCTTCATTACATAACTATCTCATCTATATAAGAGTTCAATCTCAACCTAACTGCTTCAATCGCTTCAACATTTGCTTTAATTTCTTCAAGCGTATGATAATACCACAAATCAACTCAGAATATTTTCCCCTTTGAATAAAATCCAACCAATCTATGTTTTAATTCATGTTTTCTCAAATTTCTAGGTTTTCTTCCACTTTGCACGCAAACAGCAGAAGATGAAGAACACGCGATGCACTGGACGCAAAGTGTCACCCAAATAGATACTCATTTTGAGCTTTTTTTAGCTTTCCCTTCGACATGTTCTTCACCAATAGGTCTGCTTACAAATAATCAATCAAAAACTGAAATCGAGGTTTCTTAATGACCTTGCACATCCCAATTGATCATATGCGACCAATTCTTTGATAGATTTTTTTTTTCAAATCAAAAGCCTGGAGTGTCTGAGTTACTCGCATTTGATCATGAATCAGAATTGAAATGGGTGGTTATTGCGATTATTTTGAGGTTTAAATTATGAATCTTGGAGTGAAAAGTCAATCTATGACTGACAACTCAAAGTAAAATGATATGTCGGTTTGTTGAACAGAGGGAGTAAATTACTACCAAATCAACGTGTTATTTCATTATTGTTTAGTGATTCCAAAAAGGCAACACTTTATTTTTCTTTGCATGTTTTGCCTTATTTTTCTCTCATATTCGCGTGCAGGAATAAAATAAAGTAAATTATACGAACGGTCCCTATGGTTTGGGGGAATTTGTGCGTTTGGTCCCTAACTTTTTTTTTTTTTTTTATAAATTTGGAAGGTCCTTACTGTTTGTTTTTGTTACGCGTTTGGTCCATACTATTTGTTTTTGTTACGTGCTTGGTCAATGTCTTATCTAAAAATACTGTTATTTAAATAGGGAAAAATAGTGGGGTATGCAAGGTAAGGTGAGGGGTGGGGTTGGGGGTGTATTTATTTAAATAAATTAAAGAATAAATGGAAAAATAGTCTTTTTAGGTAAGACAAGGACCAAACGCGTAACAAAAACAAACAATAGGGACCTTCCGAGTTAAAAAAATAAGTTAGGGACGAAACACGTAAATTACCCTAAACTATAGGGACCATTCGTATAATTTACTCAATAAAATAAGATTGTGACAATTTTCTTTTCAACTGTGTGTACTCATTAGTAATTTAATTATATATAGATTTATTAGTACATATCATAATTGATAATATGGATCCCTACATACATTTAACATCCCTTTATGAGGCCCATTAGAGTTCTTATTTGTTGCGGATATCACTGAAGATGTAACTTATTATGTTGTACCTCGATTACTCTTAGGCTGCGTTTGACGCCACAGCTAGCTGAAAAGCTAGCTTATTTTTCGAACTTTTTTAAGTTGTCGTGTGTTTGTTAAGCCAAAAAACTACTTATAAGCTAGCTTTTAAGCTAGTTTTTAAAAAGCTACTTGGAGTAGCTTTTCGAGAGCTTTTTTACAAACTTTTCAAATATACCCTTAATTAATTATAGAAAACTTATTTTGGAAAATGCCATTTTATGTAATTTTATGCCATTTTGGAAAATGTGTACAAAAATATTAAGGATTAAATGTGTACAAAGTGAGAAATATATCACCCTATTAAGTCATTTTTACCGGCTAACCTGGAACAGCTAGTCATAAGGACTGAATGCATACAATTTAACAAGTTGAAGGGGGTAAATGTGGACGAAAAAAAAACTCAGTGACCAAATGTGTACAAATAAAAAAATATACTACCCTTTTAAGTCATTATCTAATATTTGTAACACAAAAAGAGTTGGATGATTTTTATGATAATAAGTAATGTATGGTGTTATCAGTAACCCCTGAAAGTAAGTCTAATATTGATACAAGCCCACAAGGTGATCATTCTCTTATATATTCTCTTTCATGATTCCTAGTATACCCTCGAGTAGTTAGCAATCATAAAGGGTATTGTAGTAAATTCAGTTTCTAGAACATACAACCATAGAAAACTAGGATTTTGTATGTTTTGTGAGAATTGTTATTTGTGTGTAAAAATGAAAATATAATTTTGTTAGCCGTAAGTATTACTTATAAGTTTATAATCAAACAAGTAAAGGTTACTAATATTCCCGTGTTAAAATTTTGATATACTTTACAGGGTTAATTGCTTCAGTTTGGGTATATTAACATATACAGTTATAGAATAGCTTGATAGTAGGATTTTTTATTTAATATTTTAAGTTCATATTTTATGCATAAATTATTGCCCTTTCTATTGTTGTAAGAAGCGATCATAGCTTTTGTTTGGTTTCAAGGAGATATGACTAAGGATTTTTAAAACATTATTTTTTCCTATGGAAAGGTTATTGATTGCATCAAAATGAAACTAAAATATTTATTTTTGGGTTAATGTAAACGAAGGCTGGCAAATAACCGCACATTTCAAATAGACGTTGAATAGATCAATCCTTCTGTTACATTCTTTGATTGTTTTTCTTTTCTTTTTATTTGCATCAAAGTTCTTTTTAACGATTTGATTTTTTTTCCTGTTGCTTTAATTATGAATTTTATTTTATGACACAATGAAAGCAACAAAAGCTAAAATTTTGAAAGTATAATCCTATAATTGAGTAGAATGCAACGCATTGATAAGAAGAAAAAAAAGATTGAAGTACAAGAATAAACAATAATAAACAAATAAATGAAAGTACGTTAATGGTTATTTGGTTTATTCCTTTCTAATAATGAACGATAATAACTCTCATTCAGTTTCCTTATGAACTGGTCGTGTCAGAGGTATGTGGTTATATACATGCGTTATATACATGTGTGGTTATATATGCGTAGGATGAAATGGTGCCGTTAATGAACTTCAAAGTTTCCAATTTTACTAAGCTTCATTGTGAAAAAGTGATGATGGTGAGATGTATAATTTGAATGAACACTAAACGAAAATTCACATTTTTTATTTTTCCAATCAGGATTGTTGTGATAATATCAAAGACGATCTTATTGATACATCCATGCCGGAGGTAAAACATGAGGAATGATCCTATTGATTCATTTATGTCGGATGTAAAACATGGGGAATATATTTATGTAAGTTATAACATATCGTTTAACATATGTAATTTTCTTAGGATTGTTTTTTTCTTTTTCTTTTTCTTTTTTTTTCTTTTTTTTTTGCTTTTACATTTAGACTATTTGTGTCGGTACGGGAGTCGATGCTTCTGACAATTCTATGACCAATTCTATGACCGACTTGGACGATGGGAAGACAACTAAGCAGATTATAACACATTTTTTATGATATAGAAAACATTGTAAATAAATTATTTTATGATGAACTTTTGTTTTATTCTATTTTGATTTTATATGATGCAGATGGTAACTGAGTAACAATATACTTTGTGAGACTTACGAGAATAACAAATTACTTTGTTAAGACATTTACGATAATGAACAATGTAGGAATGAATTTGGGATGTAATTAAACAATAACTTTGACATTTTTTTTGTAATATTTTCCTATTTTGAACTTAATTTCATTTGATTGTGTTTTAATCGAATGTTATTCTTTTATTGTATTGTCTTTTAATCTATTGCTATTCTTTTATTCATTTATATGTAATCTAATTGGGTATATTTGTTATTGGACAATGATAATATGGGAACAAATTAAATAAGGATTATATAACAAAGTAAAATCAATCTATTTCTTTTACATCTCACAACAAGAAATATAAGCTTTAGGGACGACTTTGGAGTATTAGCTACGAGGTATTTGCAACGACCCAATTGAGACGACATGTCGTCCCTAATACCTTTAGGGGCGACTTTCTTGACTATTAGCGACGCTTTTTATCGTCCCTAAAGGTGTCTTTTCTTGTTGTGTCTGTCAACCCATCGAACATATATAACACTAGTTATAACGTGTTATAGATAAGCTCTAAGTAAAAATATCTCATACTTTTTACGTTCTTAACTCGAGTGTGCAACATGGTGCGGTGGTCATTCGGTGTGACATGAACACCTTTCGATCAAGTAGGTGCAGAAGGAGGCTTAGAGTGTACGCAATGTCTCAAAAGCTCGAGCATATCTCCACTGGATTCATCTGGAGGTGGCCTGATGGCGAAGTAAGTTTGCAGAAAACTAGTGAACAGAATAGCAGTAGCCACCAACAAAGCTACTGTCTTCCATGGACTGCAAAAGTAAACGTTAATCAACTCCGCCGCCCACGTCTTATACTTGTTATTACAATGCTTCTCAATTCCTCGTCGAATCTGGTTGAACATGTGGACATTAACTGCCAGTGTTTCAATCTCATCGTACATCTTCACCACATCTTCATCTCGACCAAGACTATGAAGCAATATCTTGTTTTCTCGTAACTCCTTCACGTCATCACGATGAATAACCAACGATTTCATTACTCGAATGTAAGTAGAAACTCGAAGGTCATTTGGATTATGAGGGCACAACTCGTAAGCAATCATATTCAAGTATATAGCTTTTGAATTCGAGTACACCGCCCGACGCACAAGCTCAAGCTCGCCATAGCAACAATGAGAGTGAAACCTGATGTCTTCGTTAGAAGACTCGTCATTGACGTTAATACGTTTCAAGAAAATACCTTTAGCTTTGAGTTCTGTAACTGACGCAAAAGATCGATTTCGCTTTACATAATTTGATTTTGCATTAGCATTCGCATGAACATCGAAAGAGGAGGAAAGCGAGATGAAATAGGATCGGTAAAGCTCGAGAAGATGAAGAGGTTGCTTCTTTTCAAGCACTTTTTCTTCCCTCGTGGTTATTTCACCATAGTTCAAGTAGTTAAAGAACTCATTTAAGATCCTTTCACCTCTATCTTTTGGGAATCGCAAATCCAACAAAACTTGGAGTACTATAAACGGGATTTGGTTCTCGAGCAACAAAATGTCACGAGCTACGTGCATGAAGCCCAATGCGCCTAAATACTCATTATTTAGCATCAACATAGTGTTCGGTCGGCTAGCAATGCAATCTATAAAGAACAAAACGAAGCAACCATCACGCAACATCATTTGATTAAACTGATTGTCGTTGTATTCATCTGTAGAACCATCGACATAGCACTTTCTAGCATCTTGTACTACCTCAAACACTTTATTGTATAATGAATCCATGGTCTTTTTGGAGCTCAAACTATACTCCTCGAGGGTTATTAGCTTGTATTTCTCGGCTGCGGCGAGGTCATCTCGTTTATGGTGGTAAGGGCCAAGTGAAACCACCGCTGGCTCGTAGCATTGGCGGTTTCTTCCACCTTTTTCTCCTTTTAAGAGCAATGGGGGTACTTTCTCCATTTGTCGTTTGCGTTTTGAAAGTTGGATGGTTTCATTGTAATGAATGCAGAATTCCCACTCCCGAGCATAGTTGTAGTTAACGTTATCGGCCATTTCCGATTGATTACTCTGCATTTCAATTCTTACATCTTTATTTTGAGACATCTCCGTCCCCATTGGTTTTGATATCGTCAATCTATATATGTGGAATTGAAACATGTTATTGGTATAAACTATAAACTATAACTTTTTTTTTCAACATTATGGTTTTTGCTTTACAAAGAATATTTTCTTTTCAACAAATAATAGACTTGTTTATTAAGTAAAAATCAACTATCGATCAGTCATACTAAAAAAATCTGATTTCGACAGTATAATTCATTATTTGATTGTAAAATTATAATATAAGCTTTAAACTTTGATTTTGAAAGTAAACTGTCAGGGTCAGATTAGAATTATAATTACATATACGATAATTTTTGTGGATGTATCTAATGTCCATGCCTAACTAATGTAGGGGTTCAAACACGAAGGTTTTTCTTCGTGGCTTTTTCCAGTGGTCAATTTCCCTAGATTGTTAGTCTATCTTTTTTCTTGCATCAGTATAATAAGTTCTTTGTATCTTAATAATTTTTTCTGTGTATAATATGCATTCATTATAACTGATCGAATTCCTACAAGATCATAATACTTCCATGAATTATATATATGCCTACTATTATCCCCCGTGCATATATACACGACTACAGTCTACACGCATCACTAGAAATACAACAATGCAATGACATGACCGTTAATTAGGGCCTTGTTTCCTAGGCGATAATGTCCATCAAAATCTTTTATAAGCATGAACATGTAGTTTTCTCCACTTAATAAAAACATATGTATATACATAAATATTTATATAAAGAGAGCTAGTGAGAGGGAGAAAGATATAAAGATAAATGGCAATATATACCTTGTTTTTTCTGTTGAACACACAACTTGATTTGCTTGCTAGAAATGAAGGAGTCATATAAAAAACCTTAAGATGCTTAATATATAAGAGTCAAAAGTGGAGGCTGTGTCTCGTGTTCAGAGAATAAATAATTTGCTTGTAACATTGGCCAACTTAGCACCTACCTTCTAGCATCAATATATATATATATATATATATATATATATATATATATATATATATATATATATATATATATATATATATATATATATATATATATATATATATATATATATATATACACACAAACACGGAGTATATACTAAAAAAATTTGAGCCCGTATTAAACATGATATGGATGTTCATTTGAGTATTTTTATATAACTCTCAATATATTGTGTTATAAACCAAAAAAGTACTGTAATTTTCAATGTATAAGGCATGAATAAGAAGAAAATAAAAGTCCATTATGATTTCCTGTTATGATTTCTCACCAACCTCTGAGGGGCTAGTGGGATTAATCATGAAATACATTTTTTATTTCTAAATTCAAGGGCTTTAGCCACTTGTTCTTTCATTGCCCATTGATCCTTATTGCCGTGTCCACTACCTCTTGATTTGAAATGACCTAAAAAAATGATTTGACTACTTCTTGGTTTGAAATGACCTAAAAAACTACGCATGAATTAAAAGGATTTGAGATTTTAAAAACATTTTCTAGAAAGTTTGTGATATTATGTGAAATATTATGAAGATATACTCACCATTTTCTCAATGGATATAGAAATTTCCTATTTGGACAAGCCGATTTCAAGCAATCTTGATGTTTTGTCCATCGTTCTAAATAAGGTCTTAGTGATGGAAAGTTGCTAATAAATTGGAAAATATGCTTCCTGAATCATGTGAAAAAAAACAAGCAAAAAAAATGTTTTGGTTGATTTAGAATTATATAAGCTATAATACCAAGTTTATTTATTACAAACTTGATATGCATTTTTTTAACAAAAAAACAAAAGTCAATCGTTCTTTTTGTTGCATAACACAAAAATGTTATGTAAACACCATCTAAAAAATTGACATTAAAAAACTTAGAAAACACCTTAAAGTATATAAACATGTATATACTTTAAGGTGTTTTATAAGTTCAACGCCAACTTTTTTTTTTTTTTTTTTCAGATGATTGTTTGAGAGGATAATTGTATTAGACATTACAATTGGATTTTTATAACAAAATATATCATTGTGGTTTGAATATAACAAGATTCAGTTGTCCCTGGGAAAGAATATTTTTCTAAAAAAAACTAAAAGTGTTGACAATTGCATAGAGTCCAATTAACATGATCCTTCTTACTAAACACCTCTTGTAAATCAGGAGAAAGAAACAATACTATTAAGCCGATACTTAAGAAAAAATGAAAACCTTGTAAATATTAACTTACTTAATAACCAAACTTGAGAATTACATAATCAAGTTCAAGTGAATAGTCAATGTATAAATACCTAGCCCAAGGAATTTGTACTCTATCCTTCTTCCTGTGTAACTTGTCTAAAAGGGTAAACTATATAAATATTTCCAATATGACAAAAAACAAACAAACCAAGTTTTGTATTTTGTTATCATCAAAAATACATTAAAATCAAAGAAACAAAAAAACTGACAATCTTTTTCAAATGGGTATTTCAAGAATTTCAAAGAAACACCTAATCAAGAAACATTTAACTATAAAGAAATAAAAAAGCAAGAATGTTTTCTATATTGGTATATCAACAAGCACTTTAACCCTTTGACAGTGTCTTGTTTATTAGTGTGGGGTTTACTTTTACAACCGAGTTTATGTGGTGGTTGGGTGGGGGTGGGGTTCTACATGTGCATAATATGATCATATCTCTATTGACTCATTGAGAAGAATATTTAATTTTGAGTTATGTCAATATCGGGGTCTTTGTCATTCAACGCACTGATTTGGATATCTGTTGTTTAGTAAATACTCCGTCCGTCCTAAAATTATAGTCCGTATTTCCTTTTTGGTTTTTCCCAAGATAATAGTCAACTTCTAAAAATAAATAATATTTTTACCAAAATACCCACTCATTATTACTTAAATGCAAAGTAAGGACAACACTGTCATTTTATTTTATAAGTTAGTGGTAATTAATACTTTCTTATTTTGTGTGTTTTTTGTCTGTGGACAATAATTTTGGGATGGAGGGAGTATATCATATGAGCATGTCTAGGATAATGTCTTAAATTTGTAGTTAAATCCTGGTTCATATCAAGCTCTGATATAGTTGATATAGCTCTCCCCCTAGTTTATCCTTAAAGGCTTACCTGCATAAAATGTAAAAGACTAAACTGCAAATTTGGTCCCTGTGGTTATCAAAAAAATGTGGATAGAGTCCAAAATCTTTTCAACTTGCACCATCGGTCCAAAATCGGATCTTTTTTGTGGATATTGTCCCTGTCAAACTTAAAATGACGATTATACCCTTTTAATTTGTTTTTTACAATTTTTTTATGTTTTCCTAATATCAGAATAATTAAAAAAAATAAAAATATCTACCTACGCCATCCCACCCCACCGTCTCTCTCTCTCTCTCTCTCTCTCTCTCTCTCTCCATGGATGAACCTTCCACCACTCCCTTCATAACCTCATCCCTTCTTCAAATCCAAACTCAAAAACCACCCATCACTACCACATCCCAAATAAGCCACCAGTCACCACCGGAGACACCCAAGAACACGACCATTGACTGTGACATCCCCAATTTCTCGGCCAGAAAAGACCGATTTGTTTATGCTTTGTTTTATAAATCAGAGTAATCCTTTAAAGAAAACGGTTGTGGAATTTGTTACCAAACAAGATATGATAAAATTTTATCAAAACATTTCTCAAAGAGAATGTACTTTTCATTAAATAATAAAATCTCGGGATGTCATGTTTCGATACAGACCAAAAGCATAAACAATATAAAATAGACCTTACAACAGTTATTTATAACTACTGATCTATAATCCAAAATCCCTCGTCATCGTCCAACTATGCTCTTTTTCCACTACCTGTAATACAGAAAAACTGAGTGGGTCAGGCTTGGGAGCCTGGTGAGCATATAGGGTTTTCAACCCACAATAATATAATTATTATATTTAATCATCAAACAATCAACCCAATTACCCATCCCCATTATCTTCTTTATTTCTTAAGGTTTTACCCTAAGAATCAACTATCCTTCATTCATTCATTCCTAAGGATCGACCTAAGGACTTGGCACAAAATCCATTGCTACATAAGGCGCATCTACCAACTTTATCCTTTAAGCGCCTCTGCCAGGATTACGACATTCACTATTAGGCGCCACTGCCTGGATTACGACATACACTATTAGGCGCCACTGCCTGGATTACGACATACACTATTAGGCGCATCTGCCAACATTATCCTTTATGCGCATCTGCCAGGATTACAACATTCTCTATTTGGCGCATCTGCCGACCTTATCCTATAAGCACATCTGCCAGGATTATCCTATAAGCGCATCTGCTAGTATTATGACATTCTCTATTTGGCGCATCTGCCGACCTTATCCTATAAGCGCATCTGCCAGGATTATCCTATAAGCGCATCTGCTAGTATTATGACATTTACTATTTAGCGCATCTGCTAAGATTATCTATAACATCTTTCATACCACATCACTTATCTACCCATGTTTTACCCGACATATTCGTAGATATAAATTACATATATGGTTTAGTTCATTTAAAAACATGTATAAAACATTCATTCCAACAACCATCTCAAGTAAACAAACAACGTATAAACACATAACACGTATTTCATAGCAAATACTTCATATTTATGCGGTAGAAGAAAGTAACTACACACTCACCTGATCAGAAGATGATCGGGCAGCACTACGGCTCTAAGATTAGTATTTCTTCGGTGAAACCGGGGGATCTTCACACACCGGGCTTCTCGTGGGCAGAGCTTCGGCTCGGAAACTCTTTTCTTCTCGGGATCTTCGGGCTCCGGGACTTGCTTCGGGTCTCGGGATGATACCGGGGCTTCGGGGGGTTTTAATAGGGCTTAGAGAGGGTATCGGGAGTGGGAGAGAAGAGATAGAGCAACCAAAATCGGCTGACCCTCGATTTCTATTTATAGGGTCATTTTTCAGCTCTCACGTCGTGAATTCAATAGTCATCAGGTGCATCATCGCCACTTGCGTCTGTCAGGCTCCAGAAGTCATAAATACTGAGTTCACGTCGTGAACACTGTATTGACGTCGTGAACTCCGACAGTTTTGGGGTTTCGCGCCCCGAACTTCAGAAATTCATAACTTTCGCATACAAATCCGTTTTCGACGTTCTTTATATCCACGCGTAGGTGAGATTATGCTCTACAACTCTCGTTTAGACTCCGTTGGCTAATTTTGACTTTAATTTTAATATATTATTAATATATTATTTTTAGTAGGCCGGGACAGGAAAACTCCGTTCGAAATTCATAACTCCTTCATCTGAACTCCGTTTTCGTCTGTCTTTTTCTCGTTGGACTACTATTGATGAGATCTTCAATTCTCATTTAGAAAGTTTTGGCTAAATATCGCTCGACCTCAATCTCGAGTTTCGGGCTGCATACTGCTAATGCTGAAACTTCGAAAAATCATAACTTCCTCATACGAAGTCAGATTTAGACGTTCTTTTTATGCACGCTCTCGGTTTAACGTATTCTACGACTTTCATTTAGATCTCTAAGGCCAATTTATATTTCTTATCAAGATTCTTTCAAAACGTATGAATTTATTCCGGTGAACATTAAAAAGAATGTTTTGTGTATGTGATGATCGTATTCACCTAGGGACAATATTAAAATCTGAATTTATTTTTGTATAAACATATATTAATCATTGTAATCATTGATAAGTTAATAACTGCTATAAAATTAATTTTTTTAAAAAAAATGTTACTATATGTATGTTTCAATCTTACTCTTTATTATTGAAGTTATTTCCACCAACATCCCATTGGCCTAAAGCATGGTGAGAATATTCATTAACAATATATTTGTCTTGATGTTAAAAAAATAGGTTAATCTTCTATACCAAAATGGTACGAAAACATTATAATAGTTGCTAACCAAATAGTAAATAAAAAGTTATAGAAATTAAGTAGAAAGTAATTTAATAAATTACACTAATAAAGCTTCATAAAATTAGGAACATCATACAGAAAACCCATAATACCAATTTATTATACAACCTCATAACTTTTTTAATAATTTAAAGTTTACATGTTTTGTTTTTATTCAAGAGTTTATCATTTGTGTCCGTACATTTAAGTAAGACAAAAAATATGAACATTTAAATCACTAAAAGTTGTTAAAAACGATGTCGATATAATATATATAAAATAATAAAATATATTGCAATTGCTTCATATTTTATTTCATGCTAAAAGTAACAATATTATTTTGTCATCTTTATCATATATCTTTCCATTGTGCGCATTCTTTTTCTTTATTTAGGTGAATTGGGATACCTTCTTGGCGAAGAAGTAAGAATTGACCACTTTGCCTATGTGTAAAATGATTTCTTTTAGCCTCCAAGGGAATCTTTATCTTTTTTTCTTTTATAGGTGGTGAGGATGAACTTAAATTAAGTCACTTTGGTTTGAAGATACTTCAAAATTCCTTTATCCTTTATCCTTTATCCTCTAATGATTTTACAATAGTTACAGAATAAAATATTTGTTCGGAAGCTATACACCCGA